GAGAGAGAGAGAGAGAGAGAGAGATGTTTTATTTAACAGCTGACACCAGAAGGCCCCGTGGGAAAACCCACAGTGAGTTGCTGGGAGGGAAGGAGTGTGTGTGGAAGTCTGGGGCTGTGTGGGGAGCGGAGGCTGGTGGAAACTCCCTGGGTGGAGGGGCTGAGGGCCCTGGGGCGCTGGCCTTGCTCTGTGCTATTAGGAGCTGTGGGTGCTGCCCCACAGGGACGGTCCCTCTGCCTCCCCCTGTCAGCCCCCCCTTAGCGAACGGGGCCATGTCCTAATGCCCTCGGTGGGGGGTGTTGTGGAGATCCAGGAAGGACCCACGTGTCATGTGCGAGTCAGGCTGGTGGGGACAGGCGCAGTGACAGCGAACACGGCAGAATCCTAGCGCCAGAGGCAGCCCCAAACACGCCCCCGGGGCGCCTGCAGGACCCACAGGGCTCTGCACCCCCAGGCAGCGAGCTGAGATGGGGGCTGGAGACCCCAGCTGACAGCGCGGCACTCATCCTGCACGTTCTCGACAATGAGCACATGTTGCTTGTGGAGCTAAAACAGACGGCACTGAGCAAGAACGCTTGTCGCCTTCCCCGCCGCCAGGAGGGTGGCTGCGTGCTGCCTGGGGGCGGGCTGCATTGGGTGGGCACACCCAGCTGGGCACCTGGTTGAGCCTCTCCCTCCAATAATGACGAAGACCATTAGTGATGGAAGATGCTAGGGTACATGGAGAGGCGTCCCTGCCCTTGTCTCCTCTTGGTCATAGGATAGAAAACCATGTCTGGGTGTAGTGTTGCGGGGGCGGTGTGTGTGAAGAATTGAAAGTCATTGATGTCACCCAGCTGGTGTGGCTCAGTGGCTGAGCGTTGACCTATGAACCAGGAGGTCACCGTTTGATTCCCGGTCAGGGCACCTGCCAGGGCTGTGGGCACATCCCCAGTGGGGGTCGTGCAGGAGGCAGCCGATCAATGATTCTCTCTCATCATTGATGTTTCTCTCTCTCTCCTTCTCCATCCTTCTCTGCAACCCATTAAAAAAATATTTAAAAATATAAAAGAAAAGAAAGTGTTGATGTTAAGGGGTTGGGACGGTGCCCGATCTTTTCCTCTTTTTGTGATTCTTGTTGCTACGATGTTTGCGCAATAGAAACAGGAAGGAGCTGGCAAAGCATCTGGTTGGGTGAGGGAACCGTCTCCGTTCCTCACCAACTCCTGCCCCGAGACCCTCGCTCCAGGAGGGGGGGCGGCCCAGGAGGGGCCTGGGCCCTGCACATGGGCCTCCTGCCAGGGGTCCGGGCCACGCCCAGAATCTCGGTTCACCTTCATCGGCAGCCAGCCAGGTGGGACTTCCTGTTCCAGTTTACAGATAAGGAACTGAAGGCTCAGAGAGGTCACAGCGAGTGCACGACCGAGGGTCATATGCGGGAGCATGACCAAACCTGGGAGCCAGACCCACGCCAGGCCTGCGGGAGGGGGGCCAGCCTGAGGGAGGGGGGCCAGGCCTGCGGGAAGGGTGAGACCTGGGGCAGTCTTACTCATGTGCATATGACCAATGACTGGCACAGAGCCTGGCACTTTCACCCACTCTGCCCCAAACTATGCACCGTGTACAGGGACTCGTCCGGAGGTTGCTCGGGGCTGGCCGTGCTCGGGGCCGGGATCTTCGCAGCCGGGATCTTTGGAGCCAGTTGCTTCCAGGTCGCCCGCATCTGCTTCTGCGAGGAACCCGGCAGGGCTGTCAGGGTGGGAACAGGGACTGCCGGTCTCCTTCCTGGCAGTCCCACCGGGGAAAGGGTGGCAGGCTGCCGTGAGGCCACCCACAAACTGGTCGCTCCGCGCCTGCCGCCTGGCCCTGCCCTCTCCAGGGACCGTGCCCAATGCCTCCGAGGCCTGAATCTCACCACTCACCTGCCCAGAGAGACAGAAACGATATAGACCCACGAGGCTCTGCCGGACACGGGCCTGGCTCAGGGAGGCGGGAGCCGCGGGCAGGGTGCCAGCGAGGCAGGGTCCCCCCTGTTGGGGGCGGTGCTGAGCAAACAGCGCGCTGCCCTCAGGGCTCTGTGGCCTCGGGCAGGCCACTTCCCCTCTCTGGGCCTCAGTTTCATCAGTGACCCTCTTTTGCAAAACTGTTTCGAGGACTCAGGGAAGTTATGAGAGGGTGAGTGCGGGGCCCTCAGGCGGCCCTCAATGCACAGCCGTCAGCCTCCTCTTGCGAGCTGGGCGGCATGAGCAATGGAGCTTAGGGCCGGGTGGGGAGCAGACAAGGGACCAGCATTCTCCCGACGCACGGCACACGGACAGACCCACGGGGACAGCCTGTGGCGCACGGGGAGGGGCGGACGCCTCGCCTGGCAGGAGGGATGTCTAAGGCCTGAAGCCTGAGAAGTTCGTTTGGCAAGACAGGGAGGAAGGGCAGGGCAACAGCAGGTGCCCAGGCCTGGAGGTGTTGAGGAGCTTCAAGATGGTCAGCGTGGCCAGAGAGGCGCACCTGCCCGGGCGGGTCAGGACGGCCTCGCAGGGGCTGAAGAGGATGGACAGTGGGAACCTCTGGGGCTTTCAGCGGGAGGGGCCAGGGCGGGAATGTGGTTTCAGAAAGCTCGTGCTGGCGGCCAAGGGCAGTGCTGATGGTGGGGGGCGGGGCGGGCGGGGAGCCCTAGGGCTCAAAGAGAAGAGACAGTAGGAGGTGCCCTCCAGCTCCTTCTGAGGAGGGGGCCCAGGAAGGCGGTCGATCTCGCCCCTCCTCGCAGGCACCGCACAGCCAGCAGCAGAACAGCAGCCTCGTCTCTGGGCAGAAGCTAATTAAAAACCCTGGCTGCCTGCCAATCCCCAGCCCATTTACTCGGGATTAGCTCTCGAGAGCTCCTTCACTCTCAGGCACAAGCCCGCGCCACCCCCAGTCACAGCGCGATGACTGCTCAGGAAGACAGGGCCTCTCAGGGTGCCAGGTGGGGCCTTAAACACGTTCCCTGCTGGGTCTCACGGCCCCTCAATAAACCTGCAAGACAAGTCTTCCTGAGATCTGCCCCCCTGAGGGCGGGAAGGCTCAGCGAGGGCGGGCGACCTGCCTGAGGCCACAGAGCCAGGACCTGGCAGGGGAACCCGGTCCGATGTACCTGCCGGTCCCTGGAGTTCCCGCTCCCTCCTTTCACTGGAATGTGTAGGCCTCGTAGACAGTGGGTCGGCCACTGGCATCCGTGCCACCCTTTACAGTTTGCAGAGAACTTGTTCTTATTTTCACTGAGTCCTCATAGTGGCCTGACAAGGTGGGCGTGGAATTCCCATTGTAAAAAAGGGGGGATGCCAGGCTGGCGTAGCCCAGGGGCTGAGCATCGACCTATGAACCAGGAGGTCACGGTTCGATTCCCGGTCAGGGCACACGCCCGGGTTGTGGGCTTGATCCCCAGTATGAGGTGTGCAGGAGGAGAGCTGATCAACGAGTCTCTCTCATCATTGATGTTTCTCTCTCTCTCTCCCTTCCTTTCTGAAATCAATAAAAAAAATATTTTAAAAAGGGGAGGGGACTGAGGCTTGTCCACCTAGTCCCCAGGGCCCACCGGGATACCCTGCAGGGCGGGCAGGCATCTGAAATCAATAAAAATATATTTAAAAAGGGGAGGGGACTGAGTCTTGTCCACCTAGTCCCCAGGGCCCACTGGGATACCCTGCAGGGCGGGCAGGCAGCCCTGGGCCCTCGGGGCATTCCCAGCGACTGTGAGGGGCGAAGGGGCAGGGCCGAGGCCCGTGGGCATCCCTACCTTCTTCCAGAGCAGCAGGGCCGTGCCCAGGATGCTCAGGGCACCCAGGACGCCGATGAAGCTAAAGAACAGGATCTTCTCGGGGACCCTTGGGGGCTCTCGGTAGCCTGTGTCTAGGAGGAAGGCAGGGAAGCAGAGGGGTTAGTGATGCCTCACCCCACAACCTCCAGGCCCCCAATCCCTGGTCCCCTTTACCCAGGACCCCCTTACACCCCTTCCCCAGAAGGACCCCAGATTCCGCCTCTCCCAATGTCCTCCACCTCACACGCACGGTGGCTGAGCCCCTTCCCGGGTCAACTGCCTGATGCTTCCCACGGGTCCTGCCTCAGGGAGCTGGCTCCACACAGACCTGCCTGTGGGGCCCTGGGCAAGTCGTCATTTCATCTCCCGGGCCTCCTTTCTCCACGCGGAGACAGGGGTCACGTGGGCAGGTATGAGGGGTTTGTTCGGGCCTGGCCGGCGCCTGGCCTGCACGGGGCAGAGCGGGGATTGCTGGGGAAGCAGTGAAGGGCACAGCCCTCTCTCTGCCCTTCCGCCATTCATCCCTCCCTCCCTCTCTCCCTCCCTCCGGCTGGCACAGAGCCGCAGAGCGCTGACCGCGTGCCAGCACGTCCGTGTCTGTTACTCATCACGCACATCCTGTCACCAGGCCTCAGCCCTTGCGAGGAGGGTCTCGTTCACCCCCATACAGGCCTTTGACAGGCAGGGCGTGGCCATGCAGACCAGGCCCAAGGTCACAGCCTGGCAAGCAGCAGGACTGGGAGCCACAGCCAGGACTCAGGGTTCCGAAGCCCAGGCCCCCGCCGGTGGGCGTCGGAGGGCAGGTCAGAGAATCGTGGCTTCGGTGACAGACCGTTAACCTCCTGGTGTCGTTACTCCTTCGAGAAAACACGATGGAAACTAGGAACCTGTCCTCAGAAAGATGCACACGAGCCAAGCGCTCACTCACAGGCCACCACACACATGCAGACGGCTGCACCCTCCTGCCGGAGGACGCGGAGAGCACGGGGCGGGGGCCAGGGCAGGCCCGCACCCCAGGCCTCTGCCCTTGCCACACGAGGGGGGTGTCCCGGCACCTGCGCTGCAGAGGCTCCCCAGAGGCTTGGTTCTGTTTAGCCAAAGGCGAAGGATGAGGCGAACACACCCCGCTTTAGACCCTGTGCCCCAGACTCTGCTGCCGGAAACCTCTGGGGCCGCTGCCCTGCAAGAGCCACGGAGGCCTCACCTCGGACCAGGATGAAGGTGCCCGGGCCCCTCACTCTGGAGCTCGGCCAGTGGACGGAGCAGTAGTAGGTGCCGGTGGCTAATGCGCTGGGCAGCCTGGGGGTGACCTGGCACACCGTGGTGTGGGTCTGGTTCTCTTGGCCGGCGCTGGGCTGGCAGCCCGTCTGCTCCTCGGCGCTCTCCTGGCCCTGGCGGTTCACATAAAAGTAGCTGACGGTGAAGGTTTTGAATTCTGGGGTGTACGGGTAGGTGATTCTGCAGCCGAAGGAGATGGCCTGGTTGGCCAGAGAGGCCAGAATGGGGGGGCCGGTGTGGGCCACCGACTGCCCTCCTGCAGAGGAAGGAAAAGAGACGTGGCTGACTCTGGGGCCGCTTCACCCCGCCTGCGCCCGGCGGACCGGCTCTCCCGCTCCTCACGCCCTGGTGCCAAGCGGGGGGTGTGCCCAGCGCCTCACACACGATCCCTCTCCCCGCACACCCGGCAGAGTGTGTCAGAGCTACGTTTCCAGAGAAGGGGTCCGG